GAGACAAACGTCTTTCTGCTTTCGGAAGTACGACTGCATATTCGATAGTTTCGACATAATCCTTCGTCTCATGCTCAGCTCACGAGTATGAACAAAAGGTTCAGAGATTATATTACTTCTAAGAATACAAACGATGTGACTGGTGGAAATTAGTCCGAGAGTTTCGATTGCGAGGTTAGCTCTATCAATCCCCATTATTTTGAGGAATTTTTTATAAGCATAGCCCTGCCCACTTCCAGAATACAATAACAGAATTACCAAATAAAATCATGAAATCCATTTGGGTTCCAAGGAAAAAGATCCCACTTCTGATTTCATATGACAAAATACAATGTTTGCCTTCCAACGACCTGCCAGATGATGTAATTATGGAATGATTATTAAATAGTTGTCACAAGAGTATTTGAAAGATATTATCTTCAACATAGACATGACAAATGTAGAAACTTCACAAACGATGAGATTTCCACCAAATTCTTAATCACACGACATGTTTCGCTTCATCGGGTGAAATATTGGTACAGTAAAAATGTTTTTATTGTGCCAATATTTCACCTGATGAAGCTACTGTGTTAGCGAAACATGTCCTGTTATTAAGAATTTTGTGAAAATCTCATCGTTTGTGAAGTTTTTACATTTGCTATGGATTTTCATCAAGAAACGGCAGAGTCAATTAAACAAAAAAGGAATGAAATTTGTCAGAAATCGATACGAAAGTATGAAAAATATAAATATTGATCATTAGTCAATTATAAAACACACATAATAAGTAGTTTGGGAGCAACATAGTTGTTATGGAATACTCAATATAGTTGAGGTTGAATCAGTTCACACATTGCCTTGTCCAAAATGTTTATTCAATTGCTTAGCGAGTTCTTTGACTGCACCAAAGTTTCGGCAGTACCAGGTGTATTAGAGCCGTCACTTTTATCCCCACTGTGCTTCTGAGGATTGAATTTGAAGTTCTTTAGATTCTTAAATGACATTCGTCTTTCTGGTTTCTCACCGTGTCTTTTTTCAGATAATTGAGGAGTATCTTGTAACAATTTTTCACCAGTCACGGAACCACTGGGCGTATCTCTAGAAAACTTCTCAAAACCAATATTCAATTTTAGATTTTTTATATTCTTAAGAGACAAACGTCTCTCTGCTTTCGGTAATTCAACATTTTCGACACGGTTATTAGTTTCATGTTCACGGGTGCATTCTAAAGGTTTCGTGATTGTATTACTCCTAAGAATATATTCGGTGTTACTAGTTGAAATTAGCCCGATGGTTTCAATTTCGAGTTTCGCACGCTTTACACTACTTTCATCATTTTGAGATACTTTCGTAGAAATTGTAGGCACCGGAGAATGTTTATTAGAAGGCCCAAATCCTTTGCATGCTGACATGACATGCTGGAAATAATTCGTTACATACGTTGTCGCTGACGGTTTTTTCCATCCAAATTTGAAGTTACGACGTGCGTAGTAGCTGAGAAGCAAGATAATTGTGATGAGGGGGACAATTCCGAGGAAGATGACGAAGAGGGCTATCACAAGACCTCGACGAGCTGAAACAAAAAAATATTAAATAGAATATGATCAGTTCTGCTCATAATTTTTACACCGTTCTGAAAAAAACAGCCTGCTGAATCTCTATCTAGACATTTTTAAGGATCGAATTAAAATTCATGGGGCCTACTTGAAATACTCTGTTTCTGTTAATATTCACAAACTTGGTATGAGTTTATTGGGAACTGAATAAATATGAACATATAAGGTATGTGATATACTCAACAGGTTCAGCATGTTAGTTCAAGGTTCAACTCGCAAAACATGTTGGAATGCACTCTGTAAGATTATAGTAAAAAAATAATTTTTCGTCGACCTCTTCAAAAAATCACATTTTACGTTCTAATTTCCGCAAAAACTTTTCGTCCGCTGCAACGTGGCCAGTTCTGAAATTTCAGTAGATCTCCTGATTTGCATATATCTACTGATCTCCTGAAACATTTCATAATCTGCTGTTCAAATTAATTTTAAAAAATGGGTAATAAATGTACATACAGGGTGTTGCGAAATTCGACCGACAACGCTTGACACGTGATAGCCCTCGTGATTTCATAATCACTGAGATAGGGACAAACGGTCTCCAAGTCTTTATTTAGTTCTCGAGATACAGGGCGTTGGAGTTAAGAAATTAAAATAGTTTTTCGAAAGATCTTGAGAAAAATTGAATATAATGCATTCAAATTAGGTATATGATTTCATCTTTCAATGGTTCATTTTTTGACCAGAAAGACATTCCGAGAATTTTATCCATAGGTGCACTACAGGGGGTTGTGATAACTTTTCCTCCCATATTTTCACTGACGAAATTTCGATTATTTCCTATTTCTGGAATTGATTGTTAACCAAAATGATTAAATACAATTGGGGGAAGTTGGAGATTTGGGTGAAAATTTTGCAAGAAAAAGAAAGAAGAGATTTAGAGGAACCAATTCTACAGAAAATGTGCAAATAAGATGAAGAGATTCTCAACATACCATTTGGATCTGAGGCAGGTCCACTATCCAACGAACCACCTGGACCTGGATAATCACAGAAGGGAGGAGCAAATCCATCTTTGCAATGACAGTGGCCCTTGTTGTTACACCATCCATTACCATTGCAGTCTTGAGGACAACTGGGTCCCTGTATTCTTAGGCTGGATACTGACATGCATTTCTGGTTCACACACATCTGTAGAGAAAAAAAGGATCTTGAATTTCGTTCAGTAGTGTTACATTCACTTTGGAAATCTTGGTTGCCACTTATGGAATATTTTTACACTACTAAATCTTATTTGGCTATCTGGTTTGGTGTTTGTTCCAACAAACTTGAAACACCCTGTTGAGCGTACCGATGAAAACATCAGGCTAGAATTGAAACCCCATTGAAGCCACATATCCATTTAACATTTTTCACTTTATTTCACTCTAATACCTTTGCTATTGAAGAGGATAACTATGCAAGTTAATTTCAAATATGATCCTTCTTGAACACTTTCAGAAACTTATTGATGAAAATTGACACAAGAACATAATCAGTAACTCCCAAATTCGTATTTATAATTTGCATTTGTAATTTGCAAATTCTAAACATTCTTGTAAGTATTTGTTATTGCATTCTAATATTATAACCTGAATGGCAGAATATTTCTTTCAAGGTATTTGAACTTTCCCAGTCGCAGTAGTGATTTTGAACCATTTAATTTCTACTATTCATTATTCAATAGGTACTTCATACCCCTAGAGAACATTTCTTGAGTATATCTCTTCAGGGTTCCATAAAAAAATTATATTGAAATACTTATCATTAGTGTTTTTATACTTTCAATTTCTGTGTTTATTTATCATGGTGTGTACATTAGTATCTGCTCTATTATACCGGGTCTTCAACAATGATTGAACACCACGTAACCAAATTCGTATGCAACCAACAATACATGTTTGTTATCATGTTTACTCAGGTTAGATTAGGTCAATATCATCATATATGTCATATTTGCACTTCAGATCATTCATTACTACAGTTTCCAGTGTTTATTTTCTGTCGTTCACGCCTTTAGCAATTTGATTGGCCCGTTAACTTGTCAACTGTCATAGCAGCCAATAGCTTGCCTTGTTTACAGAAATTAAAAACGGGAAAGTTGCATTACGAATCTATGTTCTAGGGTTTTCGAAATTTATACTGCACAGTGCACAGCTGCGTCGACCTAGTTGTCTCTTCTCCCGTGTTTGTTTATAGTTTATATGTTCTGTTTTCATTTTATTGTCCTTGCATTTGATTATTTCACTCACAATTACTTTGCGAAAAACAGTATTGATCAAAACTATATCTTCAATTCATTGTCGTGGAAAGGTGAAACCAATAATTAACCTCTTGTTTTTATTGTTCATTCCTTATTTTCCTTTCAGGATTATCAACATGTTTTTTTTCTAGTGAAATGGATGCCTTCTTACTAATGGCACAATTCAGAAGTGGTACTTGTTCCTGATATAATATGGACATATTTACTCCGAAGTTGCCGGGAACAATTTCATGATACACTTCCAAATGCAAATATTCCATAATGATATATTTTCCAATCACAGACTGCATATTATGCATCGTTTTGAAACAAAACACTGTATCTGCAAAGGCACATCATCTGGTAGACCAAGTCTTCTTTCCAAAAGTGTTCTTCATGATATTGAGAATCGTATGGTGGTCCTAATAAGTCTGTCTCAAAGATGTCACAAGAATCAGGTAGGAAACTAATTAGTAGATGAAGTTTCCATGAATATGATGTACCCTCTCTTAGGTCTTTCTGTAGGAACTTGTCATAAAGGCACTGAAGGAAAATCTGCAAATGCATCCCTACAAGATTACTGCTGTACACGAACTGAAACTACCTGATTTCAAAATGAGGATTCGATTTTGTAATTGGTTTGATGAGCATTTGAATGATAACAATGTGCTGGATACAACTTTTTTCACTGATGAAGCCTGGTTCCATTTATAAGGGTACATCAACAGTCAAAATTACCGCACTTGGACTACAGAAAATCCTCAAAATTTCAGAGAGTCAAGTCTCCATCCTCTGAAAATCAGAACTTGGGTTGCAATTTCTAGAAGAAAAATCATAGGGCCATTTTTTTTTCAGGACTGCTGAAAGATCAAAATATTGTGGGGGAATTCCTTGAGCAAGTTCATGATGATGAACTTCGGTTTGAACATTTCCAACAGGATGGAGCTATAGCTCACACAGCTTGAGGAACTATTCAGTTACTTGAACTATATTATGATAGGAGATTATAAGCCCAGAGGTTTGGCCACCAAGATCTCCTTACCCCACCAGAAATGTTTTTCATTCGGACATCTCGAAAACAATATCTTCAAGGATCCATTACATGATCTCAATGAACTCCAAAAAACCATCAAACGAGAAATTCAAGGTATTACTGAGGATCAACTGATATGCGATGGGAGTTGATATTTTTTCAAGACTTCAAATTCAACATGATTGTGTGTGTTACATTCGAGATGTTTTTTATGTCTTATTTTCTCTGCTTTTGTTTTGTACGCCAATGTTCTATTTTGATAGCAGCTGTGAATTTCTAGATATTTATTTACCAACTGTGCAGTGTTGTTTGCAAACACGTGGTGTTCAATCACTGTTGAAGACCCGGTACAAGCTAAGGATGATACAGTGTTATTACCTTTCCTTCTCCACAATTTGCTCCATCTGGAGTGAGTCCTGGATCTTTCTGATTTATACCTAAATCTACTATAGCCGTTCGACATGGTATAATGGAACCCTTCTTGTTGATGAATGTATGCGACAAAATGGCCACAGATTCCATACCAAATTCCAGCCTTTCGTTCAAATGTTTGCAGTGCAACATCCCACACAACACACTCCTGAAAATTTCAATAAATATATAATATAGGACTAATTCAAGATACTTGCTAAATTGCTTGATAGGCAATTAGTTGAATTGTATCATTCATGGAATTAAGTAAATGGTGCACGTAGTCGGCCATTTTTGCGTATTGAAAACTTAAGAAAAAACACTCGACCGCCTACTATGATTTCTCTACGTTACATCGAGCGAGACGTTGATTCTATATTTTCCCGCTAGATGGTGATGCTGCTATTGCTCCTGTGACAAGTGGAAATAAAATGGCAAACGGCATTTTGGGTACGCGAAACATATGTAACAGTCGAAAACATCTAAAAACATTGTTCACGGGACTCTCGGGAGGTCGAGAAGAATTTCTGAAACAAAACCGCATCAGTAAGTACACCATCTACTTATTTCCATCATTATTGTATCCATGAGATTGACTTCAAGTAGTTTTTCTACCAAATAACAATACTACTGACTTTGTAGGATTGATTGTAGGCAATATTTGTGGACAGTTATTGAAATATATTTTCAACTCCTAATGCATTCAGGCATATATTATTCTCAATGGAGGATTTGTATATCTGTGCGTGGATTCGAAAAGTGTAGATTTTGAAGATAGAAAAATGGTGAAGTATCTGTATTATCAAGCATATATCCAATCAGGTCGGTTGTTTTCGTAAATTGTTATAACATTGGTAAATAAACAGTATTGTTATGTTCATAGCAAATGGCAAATAGTTACAATTCTGTATTTGGACAATAACTACAAGAGTGGTTATAAGTTCAAGGAATAGCAATATTGTTGACAAAATTACGGATTTTTGAGCTGTGTGTTAGATATCATTAGTGCCATTATTATATGAAGAAGTGTTTATGTGTACCTATACCCACAAATGAGTCTGATAGGCACAGACATTTTTGAAGTTATATTATTCAGATTGACAGATTGATTGTATTTGGTAAATTTGTCCATAATTGTGCAAGTGGTACAAGTTATGAGAAAACAACCAAGTCAAATGGACATAATCGTGACTTTTTTGGGGAAAAACCCGATTATTATAACCGGATAAATTTACGTCGCAGGCATATTAAAAGCGAAATAGCTCAATAAACTTCCCATCAGGCAATTCAAGATTGCTGGTGTCTTTGGTATGCCGGAATTTTTTCTCATAATTCCCCTAAAAAATTGAAAATTCAAGAAAAGGGAAAAGTCAACTCCTTATATGATCATTATCGCCTATTTTCTAAATCCACTGCCATTTTCATCCGAGATAGCAAGCACGAAATTGATGTTGCCAAGATAGCAAGGAAGCTAACAAGATATTATCGAAAATGACAGATCATATTTTCCAAATTCGATGAACAGAATTACACTTTTTCGAATCTTGCTGTAATAAAAATATCCTCTCCACAGCCATATTGCTATTTGTAAACAGAATCGACCCGAATGTAATGTATTATTTCGTGACGGGAAAGAAGTTTGGCATTTCATCTCTGTTGGCAGGATATAAAATGTCACTTTTCATAAATTATTTTTTTCTCGTGGGATAAAAGTGAGTACTTCTTTCCCGGATATACAGTGTCATTCATAAAGTCAGCATCATATGGGAAAAACTTTTATTAATGCCTTTTTTTGAAATTCGAGTTGGACGTCAGGTTTTGCTTCGAAAAAGATGAAAAATGGCCTACTCAATCGGGGTCATGTGACTTTCGCTATATTATTATGTCGAAAGTGACATTTTTTCAAATTAATCGCTGAAAGTAGGCTTATTTGTTCGAATATCGAAAAAGTTTACTTAAAAAAGTTGTTTCTATTTCAATTTTACATATGTGACTCGGATCTTATCTTTGTATTACATTTTTTAGATTTCGATATTTTTTAAAAAATTTAGAAATTTCTGTGATAATAAAAAAATTGTAAATTCGATATAACTACTTCATACCAGTAGCTTCATCGTGCTACTAACTTTCAATCACTAATTATCACTAATTATCGACAAAAAGATGATTTTCTTCAGAAAATGATAATCTCCGCTTCAAAATTCTGTTATGCTTGATGCAAACATAACATCAAAATGCTGTTATGTTTGAGTCAAGCATTTAGAAACGAAATTCATTTGAATTCATTTTTTCAGTACTGAAAAGATCAGTTTGAATGAATTTCGTTTCTAAATGCTTGACGATATATCAACTTTGCATCAAACATAACAGAATTTGGAAGCGGGTATTATCATTTTCTGAAGAAAATCATATTTTTGTCCATAATCAGTGATAATAAGTAATTGAAAGTGAGTAGCATGAACAAGCTACTGGTATGAAGTAGTTTCGTGAAATAGACAATTCTTCAAATATTACAGAAATTTTGAAAATTAAAAAAAAATGAAAATCTAAAAGTTGCAATAGAAAGATCAAATTCGAGAAGCATGTGTAAAATTGAAACAGAAACAACTTTTTCAAGTAAACTTTTTCGATGTTCGAACAATTAAGCCTATTTTCAGCGATTAATTTGAAAAAATGTTACTTTTGACATGTTGCGAAAGTCACGTGACCCCGATTGAGTAGGCCATTTTTCATCTTTTTTGAAGCAAAACTCAACGTACAACTCGAATTCCAAAATAAGACATTAATAAAAGTTTTTCCCATATGATGCCGACTTTATGAATGACACTGTATATCACATATACACTGTTGATGGCTTTTGTTGTGCTTTAGTTCCGAAAAATGAGTCAATAATACCTTCTCCGAGAAAGAACTGCAAGTCCTTTTATCTTCCATTCGACTTCGCGGTTACGTATATTACTAAACAACCACGAAATTCGCAATTTTTTGAAATCAAATCACAGAATTAGACTGACAGAAGTGACATCAGATATTTGATTACTTCAAAAGAATGATGAAGATGCCTACAACGCAGGTGTCCCTACTGTTGAAAACTCAAAATTTCACGTCAATAATTCTCAGAATTCAAAATGATGTAATATCTTCTCAATATTGATTCGTCCTTTCGTCTGTCACAGAAAAAAATAGTGTACTATACACGGGAAAAATATTAGATTTTTGCTCACGGTTTTTTGTCACCCTCCGCTACGCGTCGGGAGACAACACAACCTGGAGCTAAAATCTACTACTTTTTTTCCTTGTATAATAAATAACTATTTATGATCAAGCTACGTTTTGATGCTGAAATACCTCTCGAGTGAACGATACATATGAACATTTTTAATGTTGATAAATCAAAGGAAACTAAGAATGGAAATCTAATATAGCACAATAATTTCAGTGATGCATGTATTTTCGAAAGCTTGCTCCGAATTAAATGCTGAGAGTGTTAGGAAGGAAGGTGCTCAAATTTCTACCAACATTCCACTCACTTATTTTCACATTTGAAGAAGGACTGATTCAACTTGTTGTATCCACAGTTCCCGTGCCTTGTGCCCTTGGTGTTCATCATGTAACACTGATCGTCGCTGGACTTGCCCGTTTCTCCCCACAACAGCCTGCACTGGTCGGTCCTCGTCCTGCAGAAACCGTTATAACAGTAGGCCTTCCCGCCGTCGCACTCTTCCGTGTCCAGTTTGTAAATGTCCGCGGGGCAGTACTCCGATTCGCCCGTGCAGTACTCGGGCAGGTCGCACTCGTAGTCCGCCGAGCGGCAGATAACGCCGGCTGTTTTCGGTTTACAGGTCTGAAATAGTATACGCAGGGTGTTCAAATGTACGAATATTCGATGATATTTGTATATGTACGTCCGCGAGACCACAAAAAGAGAGGATTTCGGGATCCTAGTTCTAGTTGTGTAAAACTGGCTCAAGTGGCTCAGCCAATGTTTAGTGTTTTCGAGAACCTATGACAACTTTACTGTCAACATTTGGTGAACAATCATTCCCGATAGCCCGTTTTATGCAGAATAGGATGACGTTAATTTCTCTCTGTAATATACTTGTACGCTTGTTTCTTGAATGCAACTGTACAAAAAAATCGTACAACATTGTTTCGAAAACTCACTAATGAAAATAGATATTCGATTATCACTTCCTTCCTATGGAACTTCAAATCTGATGGCAAACGTGGGTACTAATGTTCCTTCGCATCTTTGGTCTAAATTATACTTGGATCCCTCGAAGCCAAATACCCTCTACTGCCCTTGACCTTCAAAATAGGATCATAACTAATTCTCAATTCTATTTTTGATTTTGAAGGTATAAAATTGAAGAACATATGGAAATATTTGTTCTATCTTGATAAAATAACTGTTTCCGACAAGAACAATAAAAAAATTAGCAAGTTCATTCATCACTCTATTCCACTAATAACTTCCTCAATAACAAATTAGTACATGATATTTACAACAAAGTTTCGAAGTGATGTCATTCTATTTCACGGCATGATTTTAAAACGGTTCTTTACTCGAAAACGAATATTTTGCACTAATGTATACAATGAATTGGTATTTATTTTTTTCCACGAAAACGAAGCAGAATATCAAAACAAATCAGGAGACCAAAATGTTGTATTTTTAGTTGGTCAATAGGATATGAAGATATAGAATTCAAAAAAATCAGTGGCGCACATTTTATTGACAATGATATTCTGTAGGGTGCCCCTCAGGACGCCATAGCATTTCATATTTCCAATTCAATTATAGCTAATTCAGCTCCTCATGATAAAAAATATAATAGCCAAATTTCAAGGAAATCGGTGGAACGATATTTGAGATATTCATAAAAACCCAATTTGTTTTTTAAAGTTTAATACTTTATACTGTATCTTGAAAACTATGCATTTCCGGACCCACGTATATATATGAAATAAATTTTATGTTTTCTCATGCAGAATCACCCCCTTGATTTTTTGCGCATAATTTCCGGCCACCCTGTATTTATTATTCCTCATCAATTTGTGATGACAGGTGTCACATATTGTAAAAAAATGGTCTACGTCTGTAGACCCGTTACCATCGAGATTAGAAGGCCAGCAGACTCTGACGCAAACAGCTCGTGACGTCACCTAAGAGAGGCCAGTGTTTTACCGCTTGTCGACTAACGCGGCAGTTCGTGTTAATTCATCGGTGATTCACGTATGTTTTTGAAGCGGTCCCGAATTCTTTTGTTGTTCATTTATCAAAATAATTGGCGGAAAAATTACTGTTTTGTGAAATATTTTGTGTTGTGATAGGCAAAATAACAATGAATTTCAAGTGTTGTGTTCCCTTTTGTCGGGGGAATTAGGTGGGTGGTCCAAAAGTTCATGTTTTTAGTTTCCCGTTGGACGAGGAACTATCGAAAAAGTGGGTATACGCAATTCACCGCGAGGATTTTTCTCCATCTAAGTACAGTAGTAAACAGAGCTTAATTTATAATGATGAATTAATAATAGAAGACAATTACTCTCTCATAAAGAGTATCTGTAGAGAAAAAAGAAAAGAGCTTTGATTGTGCAGTTAGTTTTGTATTCGTATAATATATTCAACAAAATCATCTCTGAATTCGAGGAAATTTTCTTGCATGTTCATAATAAACGGGCATTTTCAACTCAACACATTCTCAAATTTCGTTCTGAAAACGGTCTTTTCCCTCGTGGCAATGAATGCAGAATTCATTCCGATGATCAAATTGCAACTATAATATTAACATGTACTACAAACACTCTACTTAAAAAGGTGAAACTGCATTTATCATGCTATGGGTTTTCTCGAATTTTCTTTTTGTACTCAGTATTTTTTTTTTAAAACACGAATTTGATAATGAAAATGTGAACAAACCATTATTTATCAAGATATCTGACTATAAAGTTACAAAGTTCACCTTATTTTTCGCCTGTCTTCTGGATGGCATTTAGAACAATTTTCCCTTCTTTTTTCATCATATTGGACAATTTATATATAATTCAACTATAAATATGATTTTCTTGAGATTAATCCATATTTAGTAAAAAGAAGGAAGAATATCATTCAAAATAATGGCGTGTGTAATGTCATTCGAAAGCAATCTATTGACATTTGACATCTCGTATTTTGATGGACTATTGATTAAATGGTCGTCATCTGGAATGCTTGTCCACTAAATATGAAAAACTTGCCATGAAAATCATATTTCCTGTTGAATTTTCTATATAAAAGTGTGTCATCGAAGTACATCATGAGTATGTAAAGTGTCCAATGACAAAATAAGAAGAGCAAGTAGCTTTAAATGCCCCCAACACAAGGGGAGAAAGAAGGCGAAATTTCGAACTTTTTCGAGAAATATCTCGATAAATAGTGGTTTGTTCACATCTTCATTATTAAATTCTTGTTTTTCTGACAAAAATACGGAAGTACCAAAAAAATTTTCGAAAAAAAAAAACCATCGCATGATAAATGCAGTTTTACCCTTAAAAATTACTGTTTCAAGTCTAACGATCAATTGGGTAAGAAATCCAACAACAGGGAATTGAAAACACTCACTGGCTAATTCTATAGGTAATAGGAATTCTCCAAGATGAATATAGGTAATTATTACGAACGGCATGTCTATCAAAATAAAATATATTTTCCACAATTTTCTTTCGATCAATTTCATGATAAGTTTATGTTCTGCGGGCCTTGTATAATTAGGTGTAAAGTTTACCTTCACCACATTTTTTGCCAATATATTTAATTCGAATGGGTTGCTATAGGTGGATATTTGTGTGTAAGGCTTGTGCTTAGGCCTCACTATGGTGACGTCATCACGAAAATATGCAGGCCTTATAATCTCGATGGTAACGGTAGATAGCGCGACCAAACTCGTAGGAAAGTTCCGCGCGCCTAACGTAGAGTTAATGTGACAAAAGTCAGTTATTTCTTCTTATTAGGGGAGCACAATTAATGACTTTTCACCCTAACTTTAAAGCTCGCTTAAAAGTAATCGATGGCGGTCAGTAGCATTTTCACACATCGACTCACCGTCAGATCACAGCACTCTCCGGTGGCGCAAGTGGCGTTCTCGTGCAGCCTACAGGTGGTGGCGTTGCAGCAGAAATTGTCGCAGTGCTGCGGCAGGCCGCAATCGCACTCCTCGCCCTCCTCAGCGAAGCCGTTGCCGCAGGTGGGCCCGGCGAACAGCGACTCCGGCTTATTCTTCAGACAGTAGTCCATGCCGTGCGTGAAGGCCTGCAAGTTAGGTCATAATATAGTCATTTATACACCAAGGCATACCAAGGTAGTAAAAAATATCATTATTACTCATCAGGGAACAAGATTAAATCTCGAGGCTCCAGTCGAGGAAAATTATTTTTTTTAAGTTCTGAGAGAACCAAGGGAAATAATGTAGGAATTGGTGTTTTTCTTAAATTTCTGGAGGTTATATTTCCGGGGAACGCCTCCCTTGGCAATGTGTTCCAGGGCCTCGCTGTTCGTTGGATGAACGAGTCCTTAGAAAGAGATGTTCTGCAGGTCTCCAAGTGATATTTCAGAAGAGCATCGTCCATGAAAATATCTATAAAATAGAGCCAGATCGCCTACTTTCTACGGTGTTCCAGAGAAGTGAGTAAGTTTGTGAGCGAGGCATCACCCACGAGACGAATTGCCTTTTTTTGGACAGAATCCATCTGTTTCAGGGTATGTTCGGGTGCTGCACTCCAAATATGGAAACAGGTCGGATCTGTGCCTTATAGATCATAAGCAGCTGACTGGAAGTGAAAAAGCTCCTGGCTCAAAACAGGAAACCAAGTTTTTGGGATGCACTTTAAGCAAATGATCTCACTTGATTTTCCCAAGAAAGGTTATTGCTGATAGTAATACCAAGCATTGAAATGGATGTCTTCAAAGGTATGGTTACTCTTGACAAGCTTATGTTGGGCACAGTGAGATCGGCTTTTCTAGAGAAAAGGCATGCTTGTGTTTTGTTTGCATTGAAATCAACCAAGTCATTGGATCCTCATTCGAGAATTGTTGCCAAGTCCATTTTTATGTTGTCAACATTTCTCCCTCGTTCGTTTCTGTTTTGCCTGGCTGGTATTGGAGCCCTGGAAGAGCAGGCGGTATGGAGGGTACTATCATCCTCGAAGCTGTGTACTGGACATGAAGTTGCTTCCAACAAATCGTTGATATGGATTAGAAATAGTGTTGGTGCTAGAATTGATCCTTGCGGTTCTGAGATATTCGCAAAAAACAGTGACATTTTTGAACTTTTTTTTGGTTTTTGGCTTATGATTCCAAAAAATACGCGAGGTATCGGAAAAAACGGACCACACTTTATTTGTAGAATATTAAATTTTCCACAATTCATTCCATAGTGAACCAAATCGAATGCCCCAACAAAAGAAAAAACAATTTACAAAAATCCTACCTGTAGGAGATAATTGAGGCTGCAGGAGGACCAATGTGTCGGAGCTACGGTGGAACTGCTGGGAGCCATAATACAACGGTCGTCCGGACATTTGCATTTGTTCGTGTCATGTTCCATACCTACCAAATGTTGGATACTGAGTTCCCAAAAACATATTACATTCTCAAGAATATCATGGTGGATGGTACTCGTGAGAATAATTGTGTCAATTATCAAAAAAATTTGATTTTCTTTTATGGAAATGTATATTAGGAGGGTTGAAAGAGCTTACAGTCACAACTCCACCACATAAACACTTCAATAATAACCAACGGTCATGGACATAAGGAGATGTTTCGAAGGATTAGTCCTTCATCATCAGCAAATTTATAAAAAGAAAATCCGTAAGAAGACACAACGCTTATGTTAGTTTTTAAGTATTTATAAAAAAATCTAAATATACCTATCATTATTGGTGGAAAACTGGAAAAAGATTACTTAAATAACGTGAGAAAAAACTATTTTTTACCGCGCATAGTGCGAGTGGGTACCAGACATTATCACATCTCTATAAGAGCTTAGTTTCAAAAAATAGTTAGAATTAGGTTAACTAATCACAAATGACAATCGACAATAATTTGCGCGTCATTATTATCAATTGTCATTTGTCGATCGTCCTATGTGATTAGTTGACCTAATTCAACAAATTCAGACCCACATGTCGATTCATTCTAATATTTGCTTTATATCAAACTATTTTTGAAAACTAAGCTTTTATAGAGCTGTGATAATGTCTGTTCCCTAAAATTTACCCACCCGCACTATGAGCGGTAAGAAATAGTTTTTTTCACGTTATTTAAGTAATCTTTTTCCACCAATAATGGTAGATATAGTCAGATTTTTTATCAATACTTAAAAACTAACACCCCCTCCTGATTTATATCACCTCCAATGTAAGTTATGGATCACCTTCGTTGGTTAAAATGTATTTCAGTGATATTCTCCTGAGATGGACTGAAATATAATTGATTGAGCAGGAATGTCGATTCCTACTACTCTACTCCATATTGTCTAGATCCATTTCAGAAAACAATATACGATCGGTGATTTGGATTTAAGGGAAAGTCGATTCAATTCGAGAAATGGTTATTTCTATTTCAGAGTTGGATAGAGTTCAATTTCAGAAACAGCTGAGCACATAATATTATGTTCATGTTCTTTCATAGGGAGACTAATGTTCAACCATATTCAACGTATTTGGTTTCACGGATTTCTGGAACCACTTTGAAGTGCAAATAAGATTTATCTTTCGAGTGATTGAAGAATAAACAAGATAATGCAGACTTGCCAAATTGAAGGGTTCTATACAAATGTTAGGGGAAATCGGAGGAAGCCCAACTTTGCTCTCTAGGATGATTGGTAACTCTTTCTTATGTTGAATAGCATGTTTCTGATGACAGAACATTCTTCTATATCTATCTCTGTCAGATTCATGATTTTAGGTTCAGCTTTGCCGTTCTATAGAAGAATGAGTTTTGGTAAAGTGTTGTTCGACATATTGCTCAGAATAACAGCACTTATCTATGCTGTGAACCCCTACGGCCCGGAAAACATACTTTGTCACTATGATCGGTCAGTATAAGCGAGCAGTTGACATGACAGTAACTGTCACTGCGTGTCCTTATCTGATGAGATAGATATGTTCAGACAATGCCTCCTCTCTCTTCAAGTTGACACTAGATGTTCTTGACACCGCTGTTTTGACGTTTTTGTTTATTTAAAGTACGGACATTGTGACAAGCACTGACAGTCAGACATAACCCTGAATAAATTGATGGAAAAAGCGGGAACTGACAGTACGCGAACGTACATGACATTAATTTAAAAGGTTTGTCAAATAGAGAAATTTGTGAAAAGCTTTTTCCAACTGTTAAAATACTGGAAAGAGAATATGTTCGAAATGCCTCTAGTCAATTCACAGATAATTTTATATTGCATTATAATTGTGGTAATCTATGGATAAATAAAGTTTCTATCCTATTCTATTCTATTAGATAAAAATATGTTTCATTAGTTGTAATTAATCGATTTTTACCCCATTTTGAACATGTTTGCTACAACAATTGTTCAACTGAAAAACTAAGAACTTAACTATAGATACTTTCCACTCAGTTTATTATTATTTCAGAGTAATATCATCTGTACTCCGTTGGCATAATTATGTACATCCCAACTTGCCATCGGCCTCTATTGATGCCTTCATCCTTATCATTCTATATTTCAAGAAAACATAATTTTCAAATTAATTTATCATTCCCTTTTTTCCACTCGAGGAGACGCTATGCACTCTCATTCAAAAATGAAAGACAAAGAAAGATATTTGGATGTACTCTTTCCGAGATATGTAGAGGAAGGAAGATGCGAGAAGCCTTTATCTACCAGAAATAAATATTCTTGGCCTGTCACTGTCACTGCTTGTCGAGTGTCCGTACTCTCAATATACAAAAACGTTGAAACAGCCAATGTCAAGTACATTTTGGAACTCTAGTTGACACTAGCTAGTCATAGAAGAAATAACCAACGGGTCTAGAACTCTCGGTGAGTACAAAGTCGTTCACGTTCATGTGCAGTATTAGTAAGTCTGTCATTTTTGTTTTATGTTCTCCACTCTTGTTATTTCATTGTTTGGTCTGGTATACTTCCTCCAGCTGGTTTGTGATGAACCAGTGAATATACATATCAAGTTCCGCTGATAAGATTTCAGTTTGTTTATATTATTCAGACACCAAGGCGATTATTTATCTGAATTATTAGTAATTGTTTGGATGATTGAGACTAACGTCTCCTGTGATAAACAATATTAGTTATGATTCCATAAGAATTCAGCACAGTTGGCAGTGTACATTTAACAGATTATTGTTTCAGAATTCAGTATCAAGGCTCATTTTTCAGGTCAATAAAAGCATATTTTCCATAAACATGTGCCCAAAAACGCTTTGTTGAAAGGTCACAAGTTTTTTACATGATGAGACAACAACCAACATTCAAATTATGTCAATTGCCCCAAAACTAACCTCAACGGCAAAATTAAAATAGCAGTCAAAGCGCACTAATTATATTTTTCATTGTTTTATTGAACAATTTTAATTAAATTTAGCAATTTACAAAAATGGATTTCAATTTAATTCCTTGATAACAGTCGCAGATCCGTAAAACACATAAAAATTACAAGAAACAAAAAAGTTTGAAACCAAAATAAATAATTCATTTGATATTTCGAAATTTACTAGCGGCGCACCACAAAAAAGTGTATGAAGCGAAAAAGATCTTGATCCCCTGAAAAAATATCTCCTTGTAGATTATTACAATCACTCGGTATACTGTACGATGCAAACCCAAAAACGTAACTTATGTTTCGAATTTGATTTGAATATCTTGAAAACCGAAAGAACTGTAGAACAGAAGAGAAAACCTTGAAACTTTTACCGCTCTATAGATCAAGCGAAAATAGTTATTTAGGCAGGAAAATTGTAGACTTGAATTTACTGCCGTGTGAAACATATATTTTTTTCTCCAAATGTTATGAAACCCATTTTGTGCAGTTTTTTTTGTTGAAAACTCCATCATTTTTTGTTCACCCAATGTCAGTGTCAATTTTGATTACCAATTTTATTAGAATTTCTTGGAACGTTGCATAGCAACAAACTTTTCCTGCCTAGGCAGTAAAAGTACACCTTTAATGCCTGTTAAGTGTCAGAGAAATGCCACTTTCCCTGCCGCTTGGAGAAAAAATCTTATTTTGACCTGAAAAATAAGTCCCTGATACCATGACACTGAATTCGATACCGATACTGAAACACCCTGTATTTACATGCCTCCTTTTCAGTGGTTACCAACAAATATTCCCGGAGAGTTTGCTCTCGATTTTTAAAGAAGGACTGATTTTCATTTACGATTTTAGGAATGTCTGTTGATTTTCCAATTCAATGAGATAGCCATTAGAGTATGTGAAACAATCCCCCTTATGATGCCCTGTGTTAACACGATATTGTGGTAATATCAATGAAGAATTTGAATTTGAGTCAACATTCATGCATGAAACACACTTACCGAAATTATGCCCCATTTCATGGGCAATGGTTGTGGCAACTAGTCCAACAACAGGTGAATGGTCGGTGTTGACACCACCGGAAAATTCGTATGTACAAATAGGCCCCTTGAGGGCTTTTCCCACAACACCATTATCAAAATTAAATTTCCTGAAAAAATTGTAAAATTAACAACTATTTGTTCTTCACATTGAATGAGTAATTGCTACTAAAGAACGAAGAACTATACTACTCATGCTCATTTAAATAGGTGTTGATCGCGTCATTTAGGCACCATTGTTATTTACTATATACAGGGTATTTCTGAAATTGGAGCGATGAAGGCATTGAAGACAAAAAACCGAGCACATAACCAAATGAAAGTTGGTATATTTTTGTGAAAAAAATATTTCGGAAGATATTGAATTTTTGGTAAACAACTTAATGATGGTTGACAGTGAAGCCACAGCCATTGCTTTCGGTGGGTGAGGTCAGTAGCATGGGAATCATTATAGTTATTTATGTACGAAGTGCGATAGGATCTAGTAATGCTGGTGGTGCATACAATATTTTACTTTAATTATAATGAAAAATCGATTTGAAAAAGCGGTTCATTGATCCTAGCATTTTCGTTCCGTTTTTTTGTTCTCATGGTAGACATGGCATTTGTTGATATTTTGACGTTTGTTGAATATTGCTCTCATCATTCAATTTGGTGAATGACATTGCTGCTTTCTTGGTGTAGTCTCATAGAAATGAGCTTCGATTAATTTATTGCCGGAGAAATCCAGACTCGTGTATGACAAGGATTATGAAGTATACAGGGTGATTCACATAAGAACCGACATAGAGCAGGGGCATGTAGAAGGACCCAAAATATGGCAATTTAACGCAACTTACCTCTATACCAAGTTGCTTCCCTAAGGAGTTATAGGCTTTGAAAGTGAAGTTATAAATTTTGAAAAAAATCAATATCCCCGTTATTCTTGAACTTAAAGCAACCAAAGTTCGTACACTTTGTGGATGTATTTAGGGCGTTACTTGACAGTAACTAGAGCTTAATTGAAATTTGTAAAGGGGGTATACCGGGTGGCGCACCATTAATATTCAACAGAATTTTGTTAACCCTCGATGGATTTCAAAAATATTTGCTTTGTTGTGTGGGCAATTCAATTCTAAAACTTTTCTTAGTCAAGTAATTTTTCGAAAAACCTCATCATTTTCATCAAAAACTCGAATAACTGAAAACGCGCGCTCTAGGTGTGTTATTTAAAGTTATCGAAAATTCAAAATTTGGCTATGAAAATAAACGTACAACAAAAAAATAGGTCATTAATTGTGATCAGTAGAAATTGGCTAAAAAATTATTATTTAGATACGTAACAAAATACGTAAAGTAAGGACAGATACTGAAACTTAAACAACAACCAGAACAAACAATTGTTTATTGATTAAATACTTAATTAAACAACTTACTTGCTTCATTGTCGAGTTTGACGTTTATTTTCATAGCCAACTTTTGAATTTTCGATGATTTTAAATAACACACTAAGAGCACGCGTTTTCAGTTATTCGAGTTTTTGATGAAAATGATGAGGTTTTTCGAGAAATTACTAGACTAAGAAAAGTTTTAGAATTGAAGTGCCCACAAAACAAAGCGATGATTTTTAAAATCCATCAAGGGTTAACAAAATTCTGTTGAATATTAATGTTGCGCCACCCGGTATACCCCCTTTAAAAATTTCAATTGAACTCTAGTTACTTTCAAGTAACGCCCTAAATACATCCACAAAGTGTACCAAATTTGGTTGCTTTGGGTTCAAGAATAACGGAGATATTGATTTTTTTCGAAATTTATAACTTCACTTTCAAAGCCTATAACTCCTTAGGGAAGCAACTTGGTATAGAGGTAAGTTGCGTTAAATTGCCATATTTTGGGACCCCCTACATGCCCCTGCTCTATGTCGGTCCTTATGTGAATCACCCTGTATAATCAATGGAAGTTGAAAAATGAAAGTATTGCCATAGATGAGACCGTGTTATTGGCGTACTTTCAAGAATTGGTATGTAATTTAATGAACTACATAAAAAAGCAATTAGCGGCCGTTATGATTCAAAATTCATTCATTCATTCATTTCATTCATTCATTCATTTATTGCCAGAAATGCCCTCCATAACGCACTGGGCGTTATGGGTCTATTAATAGCAACCATTGCTGACGTTCCATTATTGATTGTCATTTATTATGTTTCATACAACACCCCCATTCATCTCTCCAATTTCATCCTGTATATTTAAAGTGAAAATGAATTCAACTCTCACATTAGCATAGATAGTATGAGTTATTATACTGTATTTCTCAATATTATGATTCATAGTTTACTGTATTAGTATTTGTGGTATTCTCTTTTGAAATACTCTAGAATCTAGTGAATTTTAATCGTATAGATGACAGATGTACAGCTACAGGATGTTCTAGGTTTCAATAGGAGAACTTAGAGGAGACCTAATTTATCGTAGTTCTTGCATATACAGGGTGTTACATAATTCAATACAAATATTTTAATGACATATTCCTGGGGTCAAAATAAGATTTTTTTTTCCTATAAACATGTGTCCTAAAATCCACCCCCTCCAAGCTACAGACATCGCAAGATGCGCAAAAAAAATCTTAAATTTTGAATTGTGGCTACAATTATGCATCAAATATTTTGAAAATTCACAGGCACTTGTATTTTTAGACGATCTATTCATTTCTTGATTCAAAAATAAGGTAACTCGAATCGAAAGGGGTGAATGAGGGTTGCATACAGATTTGATGGCAAACATTTTCTATTTCCTCCAAAAAAATTTTAATTCAAACATCATCGTTGAATTGGCCACTAAAAAATCATACATTTCAGTCTTTTCCATTTTCTTGAATTAGCTAACCGTTTTAGAGAAAATCGCTAGTAAATGAAAGGGGTGTATTTTTAAATTATTATACTAAAAAAACTTAGTGAGCTATGATTATGTTTGTCTCTGGTAACTAATGATTAATTAATATTTTTTATGCCAAACTGACATTGTGGTATGTCATAACCGTCATGTCACAATCGATTCACTTTCCTCAACTTACCATTACACACGATGTCTGTAGCTTGGAGGGGGTGGATTTTAGGACACATGTTTATAGGAAAAAAAAGTCTTATTTTGACCCCAGGAATATGTCATTAAAATATTTGTATTGAATTATGTAACACCCTGTATACAGGGCCACACTTCACTGTTATGCCACTAACCAAACCGGTTTTTCAACACCTCGCCAACTTAGTTAGCAACTTCAGGAGAAGATTAAAACTGAGCTTTAGTTGGGGAAACACGTGTTGAGGCGATAAAAAATTGGTTTGGTTTGTGGTAAAACAGTGCAGTGTAAATATCGTGCCAAAGGCTCCAGTCTTCCATATAAATAGAGGGTGATTTTAAAATAAGTACATTCATTGTAAATATCAACATGATACATTTAATACGAGCAATTTTACTGTGTACTAAACTGATTGCACTTCCATATTTTCGAGAAAAATAATTTTCATAGACAACCTTTTTTTACACAATATCACAACCGCCTATTACGAAGTTACAGAATAATACTAACTGATTCATTCACTTTCAGTTTTTTGTCAACATTCGATCGATTTAAGATTATGGGAATCCCTGTATAAAAGGATGAAAAATATTTACTTACGTCAATAATTGAGCATTATCATTTGGATGCACTTTAATCAATTTTTCTCTTCTATAATGTAGAAAATTTGTAAGAGTGATATCACCATTTGTAGAAAACACAATTTCGTCATTTTCAGTCCATATAACTACTCCTACTAAAGCTATAAAAATATTTAAGGGAGAGTAAAGCTGAAACAAAACGAAAAAAAAATCAGTATAATGAATAGGAAAAAATGATAATTCAAAAAATATATCAAGTATTATATAATTAACATGATCATTGTTAATATCATCATCATTATCATCATCATCATCATTATCATTGTTATTATCGTTATTATCGTTATTATCGTTGTTATCGTTATTATCATCATCATCCTTATCATCATCATCCTTATCATCATCATTATTATCATCATTATCAATATTATAAATATATATATTAAATACTGTGTGTAGGTTAATCGAGGAGGTGTTACATTCATGTTACTTGATAATTTGGGATTTTCTCTCCTCGTATACTAACATCATCACTCATCCATATGCCAACATAAGTATGACACTGAGAAGTGTCAAACTAGAACAAAGATTTCGAAGAAAAATATTTTGCATTTTTATGTTGAGAACGGGAGCAGATTCGTTCCCGAAACGTCCAAAGCTAAGTAAAAATTCGATATTTTTTCAATATACCTATATTTCTTCTCTTCAAACTTTTTTCCAAACAAAGTGTCACTGACAAGCTATTGGATTTTTCTTTTAGGCTTCCTGATAGAAAAATTTGTTAAACGCAGTGACATTTTGGGCCAAATCATCTGATTTGTCCTACTACACATATATTGAAATAATACTCATATTTTATTTTGTAGAAACGAGGAAAGAAAATCCCAAATAATCAAGTAAAATGAATTATATATCAACATTATTAATATTATCATCAACATCATTATTATTATAATTTATTATCCAATTTCCTATGAACACTTTTTTATTCAGCAAAAATTTGAAAACAGAGTACTTAGGACAAGTAGTTTTTTATAATTCAGTTTGTTTGAATGATTTTGCCTTAAATAAAAAAATTATCAGATATAATTTGAGGGACGAGTTGAATTTGGGAAGTTAATTTTTTTCACCGATTTGAGAAAAAGACCAATCTCACGAGCCAAAGAAATTCTACTAACTTCCAATTATTTGAAGCGGTTCTGTAGACGCTAGTACGTGGTGTCATCAGTATTCACTTAAGAATGTTATTGTTCATGTTTATGAACGGGACAGTATTTGTTCAGCCCTCAATATATAATAATCATAATTATTGATTCAATAACTTGTATCATCTTGACGCCGCAAGCTCCATAATTGGACAAAAAAGATTCACTCATTCAGCCTTAACGAAATTCAATAAACTACCTGACCATACAAAAAATTGCAGAAATTTTGGTACATTCAAAAATGAAGTGAAAAAACTGATTATTTCTGAGCGCACTGGGTAAAATTAATCATGCCATTTTTGTACAAATATTATTCTTTGTTTGTCAATTCACAGTTGTTGATATATTTTGAATGATGATATGTTTACCTATAGGTATATAATTATGTACTTCCTTATACCAGAGCCTATTCTGTCTGGAAATTATTTGTTCAATAAATAAATGAAATAAATAAAATAAATAAATAAATCATCACACATATAATCAATAGAGGTGATACAGGCTAGTTTTAAACTATAACCTATTGGAATGTTATTGTTTATAAAATGAATAGTTTTTATTCAATCAAGAGCATTAATGGAGTTGAGTCTTTACTCTTTATTTTTAGTTTTGTTTTGACAGTTCAATGTAAATTATCGAGGACCATGCAGTGTTGTCAGTATAATACCGAATGATTGGCTAGAATATCAGATTGCTATTGGTAGAAACACCGAATACGTCACATTTTGACATGTGACAAATATAATCATAATTATTATATCTTCTTTTGTTCAAATTTCAACAGGAAATATGATAATAAAATTGTTATTTTCTGAGCTTGATGGATGATTTAAAAAGTGAATCAATGGATTTATCATGAATTAAAACATACAATATTTTTTTGTTTGTTTGGACCAGTCCAAGATTCCAGGATGAGCCATAGGTGAAATTGATTCAACAGAGTCATTGCAATTCGATTTATAATATCGAGAAATGCGTGGACACATATACATAGAAGTCGCTAGAGAATTTATATTCAAGCATGAAACACACGTTTAATTCGATGAAATTCTTTGTTGCCTAGTCCGGGAAATAGGTAGTTTCCAGAGGATGCCAGAAAAGTGATAACTTCTCAAAACAAAAACAAAAAAAACTTCCGGGAAGTTCGTATTTCCCGGATGGTTGCCAAAAAGTTATTTTTCAATACAGGTGTGAAATTTTCTTACAGAATCCCCAATGTGCTTGAACACCGGCGGAAATGTATCAAAAACTTATATATTATTATTTACTTGAAAATTTTCAGGCAATAATTCAAGTACTGAGAGGGATCACAATTGCATACTACTGATTATGACTTCAAGAAGTTATTTTTCGAAAGTCCTGTGAACTTACTCCATTGATGATGTTAGCAATAGTTTTGGCATGATTCAAAACCTTGGACTTGCTTTCGCCTAGATCTGAGTATCCTTGATTGTCAATAACTAAGACTAGTTCTACGTATTTTGATTCCCGGTTGGCATTGTAAGGTCCTCGCACTTTGACTTCCTCTGCATCTCTTTTGTACTGAAACAACAAACAAATGCCAACGTTTATGAATAGTACCAAATATTGTGCATTGATAATCAGTTAAATTTTGAACTTTTGAAAAAGTGATTCTTATAAATCAACTCCTGTACTTAATATTTGCTGTTTCATTCAGATGACAACCCTTAATATGCCTCAACAGCACAACAGCTACATCTATGGTGTAAAACAAACTCTATCTCATCTCCACAACGTTTAATTAAATGTGGATATGTTTCCAACAGCAAAGGTATGCATCATTAGCCGAAAAAGAAAAAATGTCCTGAAATAGAATACAAATCCAGATAACGATTGAAACATCAATATGGAGAGTACTCATATGATAATGATAAAAATGATATTTCATTAGTTGAGAATCGATGATTGGAAAAATTATCATTATTTTTGAGGTGCTCTGTGTCCCCTCCTAAGCCACAGTTGAGGCGCAAATATAAGGTAACTATTTATATCAGGGCATCAGGGCGTCAGAATTTCAAAATTTATTAGGATATTCGATAAATCTAGAGTCTAGATGTCTAGAATAGATACTTACAATATGAAATGTCTCCCAACTGAAATATGAAAATCAAAAGTACAATAGTGAATCGCTGGGATCAGTCAATTTTGATTTGGTAGTCAACTTTTCGAAAAATGCTATGGTAAATAAAATATTCAGAAAGAATAGACATAGAAATTCGTGAAACCACCTCAAAAGTAACATCAGCTGATGAAAGATTTATGAAGATTCCTTTTGCTGCCCAAGTCAGGGATAAACTTGACTATCACTGCAAACAATGCCATTCATAATAATCTGGAAATATAAAATTAATACTGGACAAAATCACCAAAGCATAGGACCAAGTTTCAAAGAGCATATTGCTCACTTCAGATATATTGGATTCAAAAAATCAAGTGTTGCACCACATATTTTCGAGAGTAGTTACCCTTTCACTTTAGACAGTTCAAGAATCTTTGAACATGTTACAAAGAATAGGGAATCAAACAGTTTGGGGAGTATTTACATTAATCTAATTAGCACTAGGATGAAACGATTTTTATAGTACTATGGAGTTATAGATACCAGGTAAAAACTTGAGTGGCATTTGATTGGAAACTATAATTAGGATTTCCATTTGGAAACATATTTGAACTGTCAATCATTATTAATTTCATTCAAGTCACAAATGGAAACGAAATCTTAACTGAGATGATCAGTCAAGTGTTTCAAAAATATTGATTTCACTGGAGAGGTGTTGACATTCCTGAAATATATTTCAATTTTTTGGCAATGGATTCAACATAATTATTCACCACGGGAATTGAACTCATAATTTATAGTTATAAATACCAGGTAGAAACTTGAGTGGCATGAGCTACCTGAGGATAGGTGTTGAACATATTTTGATGCTCAGTGAACATTTTGAAGGCTATGGCAAGACAGTTGACCCTAGCACATACTGTGTACATGTTCACTTTATGAGCATGATGTAGATTTGATAAGAAACTATAATTAGGATTTCCACTTGGAAACATATTTGAACTCTCAACCATTATTAATTTCATTTGAGAGTCACAAATGAAAAGGTAATCTTAAATGAGATGATCAGCCAAGTGTTTCAAACATATTGATTTCACTGGAGAGGTGTTAACATTCCTGAAATCTATTCTAATTTGTTGGCAATGGATCCAACATAATTATTCACCGCGGGAATTGAACTCATAATTTATTTTGTTAGACAGTATGTTTTACAGCAAAATAATAAATACAATGAAATTTATAATGCAGTATATAAGTAGGCGTTTGAAGCATGAGATAATCACTTCACAATGTTTTGTTTAGTATAAATAGTGTTATTCTGCTATTATTAGTCCTTTCAAATTCGACGTTATATTCAATAATCAACACTTAGTACTGTTTAGAGAATAATTACGATTCGAACTCTACAATTGAAAAGGGTTTAATTTCATGAAAATGAAGGGGTTATCTTTATTTCCAATTCAACAATATCTTGAAAACGCATTTTATACATTTTCAAGCTCACCAGTTGGTGCTACTAGGGCTTGAGATCTACGTTAATTTCAAAATCCTTCAATTTTTGGTGGATAGCCCTGAAGGCAATGATCAGTTTTTTCGAAACTCAAGGTATTGTTTAGGCTTTATGTGCAACTTTCACATTGATAGAGCAGGTACGAAGATATAGGGTATAGTAGAAAAAGACCAGATGAAGCTTGAAAAGAAGCATACTTAATAGTTCTACCAAACCTTGACCCTACTACAGTGACTGCATTTCACCACAGTGGATACAACGGGCTGGCAGCCGCCATGTATGGGCTTACGTCAAATAGTCTGTCAATGTCTAATTAGTTGGTTATGTTTTTTGTTTTGGATATTTTGAAAAGCATTTTGTTGTTATATCGAATACAGAAGTGATATTTCACTTCATTCAAACAATGTAATGAATATAGATCAGGTTAGGTTATATAGACGTTATACAGACGACTAAGTTTCAGATGAAGACTTAAAAAAGGAGCCAATAAAGACATGGAAGCTGGTACTCAAACCCAGAGGTAGGTACACCGACTTGACTGCTTAACTCAAAGGAATCACAAGTTTTCTATCAGTAGGTGAGTTTGAGTTATTGAAAACAGTCCAATTAGATCTCTGGGGGAATCAAACATATGCAGTCTTCAGGAATGACTACTTCCAATACCATAGAATGGGATTACTCAAAACTGCGGGGTAAATTGGAACGAAACTTAAAAATTTTGAAACATCGTATCGTGCATAGTTGCTCAGTATGGTTATATACTAGTTGATTAGAAATAAGTGGCGTTTAAATATTGTTTCAAGAATGTTGTTCATCATATTGAAACTACAAGCAGCGATATGACAGAATAATATTGTACATTGTAAAATATGAAATTTGCGATATAAAATATCAAGTATCTACTAAAGCATACCTCTATAACAATGTGAAAAATAACAAGACAATCATTCAACATCGTTAAAAAGTATGTAGCGGATTCGGTTTGATCCTTAAAGTAGCTAAAAACTCTGTAATTCTTCAATTGTCTAAAAAACCTTATAGGAACTTATTGCAACCTCGAGTCATTCATTCATTTCGGGTTACCCATAAACTCGCCCCTAAATCAACTCACCCTGAGAATTCTATTTTCTGTATGGCTATGCAATCTTGCCGGATCGATGGCATCTCCCCCATATCCACAAGTTTTGTTGTGTTCCACCAAGTCCGAATGTTTGTACATGAAATGAGGAGATTCGATGGGATTCCGGCCGGAAGATCTTTCTTTCTCCACGTAGTGCAGTTCTCGCCCGTCGAATATGACTCCGGTCATGCCTTCGCAAGTGGAGATGGCTGCCCAAGAGTCCGGTTTACCACGTACTTTTCCGATGTAGTCGCAGAGATTCACTTCCTGGAATATGAAGCGTTCGATCAACTGAGGATAATATGAAATTGATCGAAATGTGATTACCGATATCATATCGCTACAGAAATAAAGTTATGAGAGTATTGGGGCACGCAGGTTTCCGTGATCATTGCAAACCGCTATTTTAACTTTATATTCAGCTTGCATATTATTTTATTTCATTTTATTTGTATGTAATCTTACATGAATAAATCCAATAATCGATTACAATTATTTCCTTAAGACAAATTTCAGTGAGCAGAGAAACGTTATCTATCGCCAACTACGAAATAGCCACAATGCTCGAAGTGGAATGAAATGTTAAATAAATACAAAAAGGTCAAAAGTCATTTCTACAAAATGTGCATAAAATGAACAACAATGGTAGGTTTCGGGAGAAAAACAACTACCTTCCTGGCTAATGCCACGCAGAACATTGAATTACATGCTCCCGAAATCTATGCATCGTCTCGTATATACTCGATTTAGCCAGGCCTCGCTAGAAAACCACAGACCAGTTTCGAGCTCTTTGATTCTCATCAGTGCAGTCTAGTCTCCAGCCAGCACTCCTAAGACCGCCGACTCAGCGTAGCCTAGCCAAACACACACCACACACACACCACGCCCCCCGAAAGGTTGAATGCCCAGGATCAAGTGCCGCCATTTAACTAGCTTACGTTAAATGATAGCTCCTCATCCCCATGTCCATCCACCCCCACTCACTAACGAGTGGACTTCAACCTTATGCATTTGGCAATCTGCATAATATGTTTTATTAAACCCCTTACTTGGTTTCAGTCTTCCGACTTTTAAACCTTTTTGTTTAATGTGTGTTGCCTAGCCTGACTTTGCGTGGTGGTTCCCTACCCTAATGGGAAGAAAATTTGAGTTTATGTATTATTATTATTGGTTTACTTTTTTTAATAGGGTATCAAAGGAGAGACTCTTCTGTTAAATTATCTGATGATTATTAGGCAACTTTTATTGATATTGATTTAATTTCGTTCTTTTATCTTATATTTGGTGAATTGGGTGCCTGCACTTTATTCTTCCGAAACGCGGGTCTTGATTTAATTGTCTATTAGTCAGGTCGTGCAGTAGCTGGTTTTCCGTTCTTCCGAATGTAGTCTCCGCGTGTTGTCTTATGTAGTTGTCTATGTAGTCTGGGTTTATGTTCAGGTCGCTATAGATAAATCTATTTGGGATATACCATGGGGCGTTTACTGCCATTCTTATTGAGACATTTAGAAATGCCTGCATTCGCTTTTTGTATGTTTCTGCGCATTGGCCCCATGCACTTGATGCATACAAAATTATTGGAAGAAGAATGGTTCTTAATAGGCGCAGCTTTACCCAGGTTTAGTCGTGTTGTGATGTGTTGTCTGAAAGCACCTGAAAGTGAGTTTGTTATCTAGGGTTACACCTAGATATTTTGCCTCGTCTGCCCATGGTATCTGTGTGTCGTTTAGTATTACGTGTCCTGTGGGTTTGGTACGTCGTCTAGTGAAGAGAACAGCTTGGCTTTTCTCTGCGTTGATTTCTATTTTCCAGTTGTTAATTAAACCAGGTTTCAAGTGTGTCGATTTGTTCTTGTAGGTATCGTACTGTCATATCTGCGTTGCTGGATCTGGCAATTACTAGCCAAACAAAACTCAAGTAGGCATTATATTCCCCCAGAGGCGTCTTTCCTCGACTATATGAAAGCAACGCCATCTGAGTAGAACAGAAGGAAAGAATCACTCCAAAACTGAAATTCCCATACGGGAGTGGCTGGTTGCCCGACTGGCGTAATTTCAACAATGAAATAGCCACAATGCTCAAAGTGGAATGAAATGTTAAATAAATACAAAAAGCTCAATGTCATTTCCACACAATGTGTTCATAAAATGAACAACAATGGTAGATTTCGGGAGAAAAACAACTACTTCCCTGGATAATACCACGCAGGATATTGAATTACATCCTCCCGAAATCTATGCATCGACTCGTATAAACGAATACTGATACAAGTGATTCTTTCCTGAATGTTGAAATGTGATTACACATATCATATCGCTATAGAATAAAGTTATGAGAGTATTGTGGCACGCATCAGGTTTCCGTGATCATTGCAAACCGCTATTCTAACTTTATATTCATCTCGCATCTTATTTATGTTTGAGAGAGAAAATGAGAAAACTTCAAGTTCAAATGTATCCAACTATAATTATGATACTAGGAATGAAATAGTATTCCCTTTACCACCGGCTCAAAGAATCAAAACAGCCAATTTATTAGACATCCCTCATGTTTTTCAACAATTTATTCGTACTGTAGGGTATACTGTGTTAACGTGAAGAACTCACTACCCCTGTAATAGATATTTATGTACCAAGGACGAAAAACTATCTATTATAGTCGGGCCTGCAAATTGATAGCCGAAGCTAGCAAGCAGGCGAGGCAATCAGATAGTTGCGATAGCTGGGTGTGGAAAAACTATACTACCATGATCCATTGTTTTATAATATGCTTAGTCCCATATTGTTATGTCCTCATTATCGTCACATAATATTTTAGGTACCATTGTCTGATGATAGCCGTAGTGCCGAAACCGGCAACTTTTTACTGAAGATTTTTATATAACGTGTGGTCGACCGACTTTCATGTCTTTGTACAATTATTCAATTCATGTTTCTTATGATAATTACCTTGTTATTTGGTGTGTGGATTTTATATTCACCATTTTCTTGGTGTTTATGGAAGAAACCTTTGGGGATCAACTGCTTATTAAGAGTTAAATCTAAAGTCATTTCCTCTCCGTCTACCTCCAACGTGATTTGTAGGTGATCAATGTGTCGTCCATTCTGAAAATAAAATTAGTGTTAGATTGAAATATGGGGGAAAATGCGTTCAACTACAGTATTTTCTGTGTGGAAATAATATATCGAGTGGATAAGGTAGGTATTGAAATTTTCGGGGATTTTGAGTTCTTGGAAATACTTCCATTGACAAGGAATTCCAAAGAGTTGCCGTTCTATAAACAAACCAATTTCGGAAGTTTTGTTCAACATATTTCAAGGTTGACAATATCAAAATAAAGTTTTCTCTTTCCCTATGATTTGTCAATAATCATTACGGCGGGCGGTAAAATAGGTGATGGAGCGGTAAAGTAATTTCACTGCTTTTCCAGTAATTCCTAGTGAACTACAATTCGATCTTTCTTCGCCAGTGGTATACATAATTTGGTTAAATGAATTCCATATTGACAGTAAATGAATGTCTAGAACGGTCGTGCATAAAATGTATGAATTTCGGGCTTGTTTTAATGGACATAGGTGCTCGGGCTCTTACACGCTGTGGTCCATAAAGTCCTACTTTACGACCTTGATACATAAATAACTATTTTGATATTTTGATATAATTATCTGAAATGCACAGCATTCAACAGGTGGGTATGAGCCAAAAGATATACAGGGTAACTCACGGTCCATGGTACGTTAGACGTTTACGGAGAACGGGATATAGGATCATTCTGAAATTTTGGTTACTCATGTAGTTGCTCTTGGTCTATCGATCTAAAGTATTTTCAGCTCTGCGGCGTTGCCGCTTCTATCGAAAAGTAGCAACAACTTTGTTATTTTAAATGGAACACCCTATATTTTACTGCATTTTCAGATTCTCTCTGAAGAGCTGATTTCATCGATGTATCACACTTGGGGTCTAGCGGAAATGATTACAGAGATATAGGGTGTGAAAAATCGACATTTTTCAAATTTAGGAATTTTTTTTGTCGAAACTATTCATTATTGGTCGAAACGGCTTACATGTCCCTATCTCAACCTTTGATTAACTATCTACTGATATTTAATTGGGACATATACCGGGTGATCAAGAATCTGAATTCTGCACCACCCTGTATTTGTTTCAATTAAATGTCAGTAGATAGTTGATCAAAAGTTGAGATAGGGACATGTGACCCGTTTTGACCAATAATGAATAGTTTCGACAAAAAAAAATCCTAAAGTTGAAAAATGTCGATTTTTCACACCCTATATCTCTGTAATCATTTCCGCTAGACCCCAAGTGTGATGCATCGATGTAATCAGCTCTTCAGAGAGAATCTGAAAATGCAATAAAATACAGGGTGTTCCATTCAAAATAACAGAGTTGTTGCTACTTTTCGATAGAAGCGGCAACGCCGCAAAGCTGAAAATATTTTAGATCGATAGACCAAGAGCAACTACGTGAGTAACCAAAATTTCAGAATGATCCTATGTCCTGTTCTCCATAAACGTCTAACGTACCATCGACCGTGAGTTACCCTGTATAGTATAAGAATTTTATTAAAATTACTCAAAACTTCAATTAAAACAACCATTTCTCGAAAAGAATGGGTGTCATTGAAATAATAAATTATACAGGGTGTTTTAGAGTTGAAAGGAGATTCCACTTAGCAGGATATGAAAAAAAAAGTTGACATGAATATTGGTCATGAAATATTAACTTTGTTTTCGAGAGTTTTTGCAACGGCTTGAGAACGCTTTGTCAACCGACTTCAACCAACTTTTTGCAGTTTTTTTTTGGATAAAAATATCTCCCTGTAGTTTTCTTGCGGTTTACATCAATTATCCATACAAACCTTTCTCTTGACTCATATATTGTTTCTGATCATCAATTGTAAAAATACAAGTTAGCGTCATATGTTGTGGAGTAATATGCACCCTGTGGGAGGTGAAAGAGGGGATCTAGTCTGTAAAAGGATGTCTTGAAATACTCTCACCTGCAAAAAAAAACAGCCACCAAAAATTAGCCAAATTGTTCGTCGTGTAACTTTTTTAATTTTTGTCCGATTTTGGTGAAATTTCGACCAAATCGTATTTATGTTTCGGAATGTTAGCCCGAATGTTGGTTCCTGAGAAAAGCTGATGGCTTGGTCATTATACAGGGAAAAACAAAAGGTACTTTTTCACACTCAACTTCTTAACGCCCTGTGGGAAAGGTGAGTGGTTTCACTTAGCTTCATTATGTTTTGGATTGAAGTGTGATCCCTTCTGAACATAATGGTTTCTGATTCACGTCGATAACCACTTTTTAAGGAAAGATACAAGTGTTTCAAGAGAATATGGATTATTAAAATTTTTATTAACAATAATTCAGAACCATTCTCCAACCTTCTGCTTCATCATGTTTTGAATTGAAGTGTGATCCTCTTTAGTCCCTTCTTCATACAACGGTTCTTGATTCACGTCAATATCTTCTTTTTGAGAGAAGATAGAAGTGTTTCAAGAAAGTATAGAATTTTTTAACTTTTAATAACAATAATTCAGAACCTATAGAGCATCTTAGGGGTGACCTCCAGAGGCTTATTCGCTATCGTCCAGCCTTGTCAGAGACTCTTCAAGAGCTACGATTCGCCCTTCAAGGAGAATTTTAGGCAATTCTTCAAGACTACTTGAGAAATTTGATCAATTCGATGCCACGGCGGTTGAATGCTGTTATTTAACCTCGAGGAGAGCATACTCGTTATATTGACTTCAGGTCTGCTACTTGTTCGTTTTATTAATAAATTTTCCGTGCTAAATTCTAAGAATGTGAGGTAGAAATAAGTGATATTGATTCTTTAAGTTGTTAATCAATGAGTTCATGTAGGTTCTGATTATTGATAGAAAAAATTGAAAAATACCATACTTTCCTAAAACACTCATATCATCCCTTAAAAATAAGATATTGATGTGAATCAAAAACTATTGTGTTAAGAAGGGATCACACTTCAATCCGAAGCATAATCAAGCCAAGTCCAACCACGCAATTTTGCCAAAGGGCGTTGAGAATTATATGGTGAAGGAGTAACTTTGGTTTTTCCCTGTATAATGATCAATTCATCAGCATTTCAGGAAAACCAATATGTAGGCCAACATTCCGGAATATAAATCTACGATTTGATCGGAATTTCACAGAAATCAGACAAGGATTAAAAAAGTTACAGGCTGAACAGTTTGGGCAAATTTTTTGGTGGCCGGGTTTTTTTGCCGGTGAGTGTACGTTACTTTTGGCATATATAGAGTTATCAGAAGAATAAAGCAGTTTTGGTGAAATTTTGTTCATAAATAAAACTAACTACAGTTAACATATCAAAATCGGAAGTTGCTGCCTTTTCCGTTCAATAGAATCTTTCAATGCAAATATATTTAGACCAAATTTCAACTTAGTTGTTATCAGAATGAAAACATTGCAGATTGCAATAATCAACTGTTTATCCAAATCACCAGTTCAGTAAACCAACTGCGTTTTAGTCGAGTTCAGTATATCAACATCTGCAGGGTCAGCCATTGTCCTGTAATTTGATATCGTTATCTATTTCTGGGATTTTGATGGATGTTTTATATCTGACTGTCTACGAAAGAGCACATCCTCATAAGTATTCCAATGCACAGGTTGATGACAATGAGAAACAATCAATGTGGTTGTATACAGGGTTATCCTCGGACCATCCATTGAAGAGGTCCACCACTATATGTTTTCCGATATTTTCGTTATTTTCCAAAGAAAAAAACGTCACTCACGTAGGTTAAGGAAGGTGCAAGACAATTTTACTACAATGAAAACGCTATTATACATATTAAAAAATGTTTTTCTGCAACCGACACAAAAGTCGTCCATTTTAATACCAAAATTAGCTCTTGAATTGACGTTTTTTTTATTACTGACACAAACATATGTATCTTGCTAGGCAACACTTTTAGTTCCTAGGAGCTGAAGTTAAACTTTAACTCCTAGGAACTAAAAAGGATGTACTAGGTCATCAAGAATAATAGTAGATTGTTTTATTAGGATCAAAAGTGACACTTTGTTTGACAGGCGAATTTTGCATTTGCGAGTCAAACAAAGTTACTGTTGATCCGAATGAAACATGCTATTTTTTCTGCAATCGAAACAATAAACTCGAATAAACATGTGAAGTAACCACCAATGCCGTGCCATATGTATGCAATGCAACAAATATTGACAAATAATCCATGTGGTGGGAATATTTCCATCTGCATTAACAGAAGGTTAGGTTTTCTAGAATGTTCGAATTGTAGTTTCAATATAAATACAACCACAGAGTGACATATTTGTGTATCGACCAGGTGCTCTAATGGCAAATACCGCGCCAGTGCCAGCTATAGGTACAAGACGTGGAAAATGTTAGGTTAGTGAGCATATCAACAATGATGATATAGTGATTATTTATTCCTCTCCATACTACACTGTGTTTGACTTGATAATCAAATGAGGCTAAACAATATCGTTGTTTGAGACAAAAAAACTATTGCTTGCCGTGGTTATTCGAAAACAAGTTATCCATCCCGAGAATAACGAATGAAATAGGTACAGATCAAGCAAGTATTTGAATCTTGAAGGCTTCCCTGATCAAAACAAAAATACTTAACTGAGATGTTCATAATCACACTACTAAACTAAAATAAGGTGTATTCATATCTCCAGCATGGGTATGAAATGCCAATCTGCTGAAATCGGAAACAAATCAGGTATGCGTCTCAACCCAAATAACCAACCGTCACAATGTTGTTTATTCTTGATGACGTCCAGTAGATCCTTTTTAGTTCCTAGGAGCTAAAGTTCAACTTTATCTCCTAGGAACTAAAATTCAACTTTAGCTCCTAGGAACTAAATATGTTGCCTAGCAACATACCTATTTTAATGTCAGCAATAGAAACATCAATTTAAGAGCTAATTTTGGTATCAAAATGGACAACTTTTGTGTCGGTTGCAGAAAAACAACATTGTTATGGTTGGTTATTTAGGTAGATTTGATCCCGGTTTCGACAGATTTCATACCCATGCTGGAGATATAAATACA